GGCCCGCCCATCGCTGCTTGCAGCTTTCATTTTTTTTTCTTTTTTCTGCAAAGTAAGCGCCATTTTCAGGGCCGCAACATGCTCAAAAACTCACCAAGTTTGGCACGCATGTCAGGACTGGTGAAAAATTTCGTATTTTGTGGGTTTCGCGGATGGGCGTGGCAAAATGGCTCCCTAGCGCCACCTAGAAAATTGCTAAAAATTAGCCCTTCGTCCACGTTCAACCTACAAGCACGAAATTTGGTGGGGATGTGTATCATATCAAGACGCACAAAAAAGCCTCAAGAACCCATACCCTAAACTCGACAGGAAGTCGGCCATTTTGAATTTGGCGGCCATTTTTGGATGATTTACTCATTACGCACTTTAACGAACTCCTCCTAGGGATTTATTTGGATCGACTTCAAATTTCTGCTGTGCCTTCTAAAGGCATTGACGATGTAAAGTTGTGCTATCTCTTGTGCTATCTCTAACTCTTGTCAAATGTGTAAAATTTCGTGCAGATCTGGGCATTTACAGCCAAGTTACAACAACTTCCTGTTTCATGGCGAATCATCGACGCCACAGACACGCCCATGGACGAAAACGCGCAGATAGAACAACTTTACATCGTCAATGCCTTTAAAAGGCACAGCAGAAATGTGAAGTCGATCAGACTAAATCCCTAGGAGGCAGGGCTCCAGACTGCGACCAAATGGTCGCATTTTGCGACCAAATTTTGAGAGTGTGCGACTGAATTTTACATCCAGTCGCACATGTGCGACCAGTAAATTTGCCACACGTTAAACGCATGGTTAAGCGTGGAAGGGGTGCGTCAATGAATCCGTGACAAGAATCGCGCGCATAAACGTCTGTGGGAAGGAGACGGAGACAAATATCACAACCTGCTACGTGCGTCTGAGCAATAAGCGATCTATCGACTCGTTACCTAGCAGCGAATGCAAACAAAATGAAAGTGGAACGAAAATACGATAGGCTACTCGTGATTAAGACCGTCGAGCAGCAGCACCAGCGACCCGAACCACTGACAGTAAAAAAAAAGCCCCGAACTTGCCAGTCGCGGGCCGATCTCGCTCACGCGACACTGTTAGGAGATCCAGTGAATGAATCCATTGAATTCGCTTCAGAATTAATAACATCAACACCACGAGATCCAGTGACAAACTTTCCGATTCGGCGCAGAGTTCTGATATAAACCATATATAGTAAGTTATAAGTAAGTTATACAAGTTATCATATCAACAGCGCTGGCGTGGAAACCAGGATAAACACTTATAGAAGGCTTTCAGTCCACTAAATCAGCAGCTCACCATGGATTTAGGCTAATGTAGTAACTTAACTCTAACCATAAATATGATAATGTGGAAGAAATAGTCAAACACTTACAAGTAGCCTATACACATCTTTTTCTAGCACTTCAAAATCAAAACTATAATATCATATATAAATATTTTATTTTTTGTATTTTTTATGTGATGACCAACACATTTTTTGTTCATCCTTCAAAGATTGTCCTAAAATAAACATTTTTAAGATTTTTTAAGACTCTTATTTAAACATTTATTTAAAAAATAATAACACCATTGTAAACAGTAGGAATGTTTATTGGCTTTTTTCACTCCATATACATGTTTTCAAATTAATAGTTTTTTTTAAATTTAATATTAGCCCTAAGACATTATAAATGATAACTAAAGTTAATTTCATCTACACCCTAGTGATTTATTGTCAGCCCCAGTGCTACTAGATTTTTTTTCTTTTTTTTTGTAGAACTCGGTGTGAGTTCTCAGTTGAGGTGGTGCTGCTTTCAAATTTGAGTCTGGAGCCCTGTGAACTTAAAATAGCATATCATAATGTTAAGTCTATTTATTATTATAGAATTTGTCAGTATTACAGTTGTTTTGGGGGAAATTTGAATAATTGCTTTGCGAGCTGATTTAAGGTGTGCCCCTAAATTTTCTGATTGCGCTCCTAAAATTTTCAGTTAGGGGCAACAGCGCTCCTAGTAAAAAAAGTTAGTCTGGAGCCCTGAGGAGGAGTTAGTTAAAGTACGTAATGAGTAAATTAGAGCCCTGCACGGGCCTCAAATCTAGGCCCTAGCCCGGCCCGAGACGTCCAGGCCCTAGCCCGGCCCGTGTCCGACAGCTCATCAGAATGATCAGCCCGAGTCCGACCCGAGCCCGTTATTTAAAAAAAAAAAAAAAAAAAAAAAAAAAACACCTTACTCAGCCTGCCCTGTTGCAGCAGTCATTTAAACAGATATGTTTTGTCCTCAATGGCAAAGTAGTTACCGTTTAGATTATTTTCATTTCTTTATAAAGTTAATTAAGACAAATATTCTTTTTATTTATTTTTTTATGACAACCAAGCACCCGACAGCGAGTTAAACATGTTTGATCCATTTATAGCCTCTCTCAATCACACTTGGCTACAATAAAATCCATAGATATAAAACAACTTAAACATATTCACACAGACAGTTAACGTTAGTTTAAACGTTTGTTAAACGTTTATTGTCATTTTTGAAAAGCTGAGGCAAACTGCTCTGCTGCTCGCAACAGCGCTCGTACAATACAATTTACAATACAATACAATACAGAGAATGCAATCTAAACAAATCAGATAAATTACATTAAAACAAACAATGCAGGTTATCTTACCTCAAAAATCAAGTCTTTACTACAGAACATGGCCATTCGGTTTCCGATAGACTCATGAAACTAAAGTCCAATCAAACAAAAAACAACAAGACAACCTCCTAAACAGTCTCTTACAGAGCATCGTGCAGAAAAAGCACCATCCACCGAGGAAAGTTTTAATCCAGTCGTACTTTTTCCAGCTGCGCTGAATCACGCTCACTACTTCTGCTGCTGCTGGCGGGACACTAAACAAGAGAACGAGCCGGTCGCCGCGGATCGCGTTGCCGGGAAACCTGTGTGCCGCGTGTGCGTGCCGTGAGCAGACTGTCAGTCATATATGTCAGTATGATAGGTTATAAATCGTCTTTCTATGTTTGCTTTTCAATAGTTATCTTCTCATATTTTATTTTAAGAATATCTAAAATAGGCTATAAAAAAGATAAACCTAAAACAGGCCCGAGGCCCGCCCGCGTGTGAACTATGACGTTAAAATTGGCCCGAAGCCCGGCCCGAGGAGTGTAAATAAGTCGGGGCCCCGTCGGCTCTCGGGCTGAAATGCAGGGCTCTAGAG